GCCAGCGGACAGCGGTCCGACATGGTCAGTGACGCCAGCCGCCCGGCTAGGCGCCGGCCGTCCTCTGTCGCTTCGCCCCGTCCACTCGACTCGGCGAAAGGTCACATTGGAGACGGCGGCGACCCGAGTGCCGTGCCTTGCCGTGACGGCGGGGCCAGTACCGTGTCCTGCAGTGACCGCCGGTTCCGTGTCCTGCAGTGACCGCCGGCTCCGTGTCCTGCAGTGACCGCCGGTTCCGTGTCCTGCAGTGACCGCCGGTTCCGTGTCCTGCAGTGACCGCCGGTTCCGTGTCCTGCAGTGACCGCCGGTTCCGTGTCCTGCAGTGACCGCCGGCTCCGTGTCCTGCAGTGACCGCCGGTTCTGTACCGAGTCGCCGATTGGGGTGCCGAGTCCGCGGGTGCTGGCGCAGCGCCGGTAGCGGTGACGCGTGCCGGCACTGGTACCGGCTGCCGCTGTGTTCAGCGCCGGGGACGTGCACCGGCGTCCACGAAGCCCCTCGTTGCCTGCTTTTGCGCCGCGCCGTAGCCGCCGGTTCAGCGGAGGTTCCGACCGCCAGCGCGGTGGTGGCGAAGTGTCCCGGCATGGGACCGGCTCTCAGACATGCGTCACCAACCGGTACCGTGGCCATCGAGTCCGGCATCACCGGTCAGCACGGCGCAACGGTCTGACAGCGGCCGCGGCACAGTTGCCCTTATTGGCTGTGGGGCCCGGTCTTGGCACGTGCCGGCCCCACCTCACCGTTACACGGCTGACCGCGGGGTCACCTTGCCCGCCGCTTGGCGCCGGCGCGACCTCTATCGGCAATCGCGGCGTCCGGCGCCGCAGTGACCCGCTGCGCGCGCTGATTGGCGGCGCTGATTGCAGAAGACAGCAGAAGACGACGCGGCGGTGTCGGCCCGAACGGCGGTCAGCTGTTCGGTAGGGCATCGTGGGCCCGCTTCGCACGTCATCCACTAATCGGGTGGTCGGGAGGCGTTGGCGGCCGGCACGTTTGTCCGATTACCGCGTGACCGCGGCTGCAGGGTCGCGGGTGAGGGAGGGGCGACTGACCCGGTCGCTGCCGAGTCGTGACACTGGGGAGGGGAGGGGTGCACCGGCCTGTAACCCCCCCCCCCGCTCTCTGCACGAGCTCCGGCGGGCCGGGCCTTGGCAGTCGGTGTGCTGCAGCGTGCTGCCACAGCTCCAGTCGAGGCACGAGGCAGCTCCGACCGCGGCGTCCGCTGGTGGGCGGCGCGTGCCGTGAAGCAGACAGCGGACAGGTTTCAGACCGTGTCGGGCGGCCCGACTCCGTGGCATTCAGAGCCGCCTGGTGCCCGGACTCGCTGCCCGGCACTGGCGGCTGTTTCGTGCAGCGTCTGGGCCGTTGCGTGTCCGCTTCTCGGTCGCGTCGCCGCCATTGTGGGCGCCGGGCCGTCCCGAGCCGCCGAAGCGGGGACCCCGCTGACCCCGAGCCCGTGTCCCGGAGTCTGCTTTCCGCTGGTGTCTGCCGACCTGTGGCCGATGGCAGCCGCCGTGACGTTTAGCTATGGCCCCTTGGTCATCCCCACCTGTGTTCGGCTGGTGCGGCGGGTAAGTGCCTGGCGACATGCCTGACTTGCTGCTAGAGCTGGTCCACTGGGCCGCCAGGCATGCTGTGTCCGCCGTTCGCGGGCCATTGGTATGCTGTGTATGTCGTTCTCGGGCCGTTGGTATGCTGTGTATGTCGTTCTCGGGCCGTTGGTATGCTGTGTATGTCGTTCTCGGGCCGTTGGCATGCTGTGTATGTCGTTCTCGGGCCGTTGGTATGCTGTGTCTGCCGTTCTCGGGCCGTTGGTATGCTGTGTCTGCCGTTCTCGGGCCGTCGGTATGCTGTGTCTGTCGTTCTCGGGCTATCAGTATGCTGTGTATGCCGTTCGCTGGCTATTGGTATGTTGTGTATGCCATTCTCGGGCCGTTGGTGTGCTGTGTCTGTCGTTCTTGGGCCGTTGGTATACTGTGTATGCCATTTTCGGGCCGTTGGTATGCTGTGTCTGCCGTTCTCGGGCCGTTGATATGTTATACCTGCCGTTCTCGAGCCGTTGGTGTGCTGTGTATGCCTTTCTCGAGCCGTTGGTATGCTATGCCTGCTGTTCTCGGGCCGTTGGTATGCTGTGTATGCCGTTCTCGGGCCGTTGATATGCCATGCCTGCTGTTCTCGGGCTGTTGGTATGCTGTGTCTGCCGTTCTCAGGCCGTTGGTATGCTGTGTCAGGAGGTTCGCTTGAGAGGTTGGATCAACTTGATGTTACGGGGCGTCTTGCTGTAGCCTGTCGACCGTCGTGTTGGCCGTCGTGTTGGTTGTTATGTTGGCCGTTATGTTGGTTATTGTGTTGGTCGTTGTTGTTGGCCGCTGTGTAGGTCGTTGTTGGCCGTTGTTGTCGGCCGTCGTGTTGGCCCGTCAGCGGGGATGCGGACAGGAGCCGGGCATTCGCGAGGTAGTGCAGACAACTGTGATCACGTGTCAATTAGCGGGTACCATTGCTGTGTTGGCAGGATTGCGACTGCCCATGTGGCGTTCTTTTTTTAGGCGTGCGCTGAAGTCTTGTATCGTTTACTGATCCATGAAACATTTGGATGCATGGAAGTTGTTTTCTTTTCACGCCATAGTATTTTTGAAATTGTTTTAGCTCAACATGTGCCCGATGTCAGTCGGTGCCTACCTGCGACGTGTCAGCGTTACGACACGGTATTTGTAGCCAAGCGTGCGCTGAAGCAAACCAGTCCTACAAACTGACAATTTTGCCGTCACTCTGCGTTGGTTGTGATTGAATGTCCTTTTCCGGGATCGCGGTGGCCCTCTTGCTGTAGAAAGTCCGACGAATTACGTGGGCCGAATTCCTTCAACCCGATTTGGATGCCATCGAAAAGCGTGCGCGACACCACATCGCGTGCTGAATTTCCGGCTTGGCGCCTCTGTCAAACTGCTGGGGCTGCAGCGTCGCACGGCTGCCGGCCGGTTGACTGGAGCCGCGCGACCGGGCGGGGCGGGGGTCTGTCTCTTAGCCGAACAAAGACCCAGATGAGCGGCTTGTCGGCGATGGAGGCGGCGGGTCAAGACCGCCGCACTGGGGACGTGACCCGGGGCTAGATGTGCTGGCGAGAATGGTCCCTGCTGAGGACGAGATGTGACAACATGGGTGATGTGCGTGTGACCCAACTCATGGGAGCGTTTCAGGGTACATCGCATCTACATCCACGGGTGCCCAAATTCGGACCATTTTTTGTTGAAGTTTGAGCTCATTGGTTGGTCATGGGTCTAGCTATACAGGTGATCACCTTTTCTGTGGCCATCAAATTGTTCTTTTATCGTCTTGGTAGAAACCGATTGTAGTACGAGTAACTGAAGCAGTTATTGTCGGAGAAATTGCTATTTTTGATAAGTAATCAATGTAGATTAGTTTAAAAGCGATGTATGACTGGGTGGCAGCGCGGTGGCTGGTACTGGGTGGTGACGTAAATAATTAGGCCCGGATTTTAAGAGTTCTGAGCATCTGGGTCGTTGACGTTGGCGAATAGGCCATGGAGCTCATACATGAACATCTGCATATCATATTTACAGTCCTTGCACGGCATTGCGCTCATTTCACTAGACCCAAACAGACATCAATGAGAGATTCCCAGTCTAATTCCCAGACACCCCCAGCGTGACGCGGGAATCGACTTGTAACACGACATCGGCGGCCAGGGAGGTCATCGCAGTGTGCAGCACGGCTGCCAGCCACGCGACACGTGTGCGACGAAAATGCCCCCATAGCGCACGCGGCGCCTGTAATGCACCACTGGGCGGCGTTTCCTGCCGACAACGGGGCGTGCGTGCTCCGTGAGCTTGGCATCGCCGACCGGCCGCTTTTCCAGCGTCCTGCGCTCTTCTCGTCCAGCTTCCTGCGCTCTCCCTGTCCAGCTTCCTGTGATCTCCTTGTCTAGCTTCCTGCGCTCTCCTTGTCCAGCTTCCTGCGCTCTCCTTGTCCAGCTTCCTGCGCTCTCCATATCCAGCTGCCCGCGCTCTCCTTGTCCAGCTTCCTGCGCTCTCCTTGTCCAGCTTCCCGCGCTCTCCTTGTCCAGCTTCCTACGCTCTCCTTGTCCAGCTTCCTGCGCTCTCCTTGTCCATGTTCCTGCGCTCTCCTTGTCCAGCTTCTCGCGCTCTTCTTGTCCTGCTTCCTGCGCTCTTCTTGTCCAGCTTCCTGCGCTATCCTGCGTACGGTCGCGGCGCACGAAGCCCGCGGCTGTTAGCAACAGACATGGGCGACACCCCGTATTTGAGATTGGAGGGGGTGGGGGGGGGGGGGGGGAGCCGGGATTGAGTGGTGAAACTGCAATCCGGGGGACAGCCCTACCGAACTTTTTCCGTGGCATGCGTACAGGACAGGGGGACAAAAGTCATTTGGGAAAATTCAGGAGGGAGGCAGCTTCCCCCAGCGGCCACACCCAAGGTGGCGGTTACAGAGAGGAGTTGCGGTACCTACCGCCGGGGAGTGGGTACACGGGGAGCCAGACACGTATGGGTCTCTTTGTACGGTCAGGTTGGGAGTCGACCGCCGCCTGTTGCTGGGAGCCCCCGGCCGCCCACACTGCCCGAGAGGCGTGGCTGTCGGTCCTGATCTGATCTGATCTGATCTGACCTGACCTGACCTGACCTGACCTGACCTGACCTGACCTGACCTGTACTGTCATGTCCTGTCCTGTTCTGTCCTGTCCTGTCCTGTCCTGTCCTGCACTTTTCTGATCTGCCCTGTCCTATCCTGCCCTGATCTGATCTGATCTGACCTGTTCTAACCTGTCTTGTCCTGTCCTTATCTGACCTGTCCTGTTCTGTTCTGTTCTGTCCCGTTCTGTCCTGTTCTGGTCTGTTCTGTTCTGTTCTGTCCTGTCCTGTCCTGTCCTGTCCTGTCCTGTCCTGCCCTTATCTGATCTGACCTGTCCTGAATTGACCTGACCCGGCCTCACCTGATCCATCCTCATCTGACTCGATCTTGTCTCCCGCAGCTGCAGTCAACCGATGAGAAGCCGACGCGCGAGAACGAGGACACGTTGTCGACGCGTCGCTCGCCCGTCGACGCCGACGACCCGGCCATCGACGCCAAACACCACGTGAGCAGCCGCCGCACATCGCCGGCATCGGGGCTTGGGACGTCGGTGACCCGGGAGGAGGGGGGAGTAACGGAGTCATGAGGGCTCCCACACATGGTGGAAAGCACGTACTTTTGCACTAATGTGCAAAATGCTGCTGGTACCGAGTGCAGCAGGTACCAAATTGGTAACTGTCTCCCCGAAGGGCTCCGGCCCCTTCCAAATTCGCTGCTGGAATCGTCCCTGTGGTGCCCGGAGATTTTGTTTCATGTCTGTATGTCTTCAGCACGTGTGCGGTGTTGTTGGTTTTGGTGCGTGCTTTGTTTGATGAAAGTACCAATCGACGCCGCTAAGATATCTGTGCCTCAAAACGCAATAAAAATTGTATTCGTTTGTGTCGTGGTGTCTTGCCAAATTTATCCGTCGTTTATTTGGAAAATGGTTCGATTTTTAATTGTCTTCCATTTGTGAACTAATACCATGCCACTGATGGGAGACGTGTCGGTCAGCGGGTGATGGATTCATAATGATGATGTTAATATTGATGGCAATGGTAATGGAGGCGCACATCTGGCGCCCCTTTCCGCCCGAAAGATGATTGGCTTGTTCTGTTGGCTCCGTCCTCGGTCTGATCTTTGACCTTGGGTCATTCAGGAGCGCGGTGATCCGGACGGCTGCGGACTGGACGCCACAGACGGTTGCTATAGCAACCACAATGACCTGCGCGTAGACCTTCCTGCGGAAGATCTGCTACGCATCAAGAAAGGCTGGCTCATGAAGATGAATGAGAAAGAGGTAGGCGCAGGTGTTCGAGGCTGGTTTTGAGACCTGGGAAATGGTATGGGCAAGGTTGGGGATCATTCATAAGGCGAGCACAGGCCATTTCAAAGCCGTCGTTTGTGTTATGTTACGATACGCGCTCATGTGTGCACCTTAGCTGCGTATCCGGGCCCTACCCCTGGCAGCGAACCGCCCAGCTCTGATTCTATTTTTGCTTCGGTGTTGGCCGAGGCTGAACGCCACACTAATGGCTACATATCGACGCGTATTGCTTGCGTGTGGAAGTGAAAGCTGCCAATTATTGGCTTGTGTGAACATTCTACTTTCGCCGCATTGTCGGCACCATCGCTGGCATAACCGGTATTCTGTGCGCAATGAAACAGACCAAGCCGGTTGTGGACCGCCTGCTGGGAGGGAATGGAGCATTCATTGCTCTTTCGACGAGCAGCACCTTTGAATGGCACCCGAAACTCCTCCTGTAGATGGTGGCATCGGCAGGAAGATGACCTTAAGATTCCAACCGACACCAAGCGTTTACGTGTAGAGTCTTGCCGTGGGCTGTTAGCGATCAGCTGATTTGTTCGTCCGCGCATGGTGGCGCCTTGGTTGGACTTGTTAGTTGTGTCGTTCACGAGTTGGACATTGGCCACGCGCCACCCCCCGTCAGCTGTGGATGAAATATCGCTCGTGTGGTTGTATGTCGTGTGGTTGGCCCGGCCGTGACCCCTGGCGCTTGACCTCGACCTTGACCTTGACCGTGTGGCGCTGTCCGCCAGACGTGGATCAAGCACTGGTTCGTGCTGCGCGGTCCGAGCTTGACCCTGTACCGGGACACGGCCGCCGAAGACAACAACGTCATGGACGGGGTCATCGACCTCAGCCGCGCTCAGCGGGTGGAGGAATGCGACACGGACAAGAACTACGGCTTCCAGATCACGGTCAGCGGCGTACTGGGCGTGCTGGGTAGGGCCAGTCACGGGCCAGTTAATTGTTTACAACAAAAAAAGAGCTGAAAATTGTAAGAGTGTCTACTTGCCCCTGCGGATTCTGGACTTTGTCCTGATTTTCTGTATGCTTTTTGGACATCAATCGTGACATGCCTCTGATTGGGATGTGCGTCTTGTGGAGCTGTTAGCCCGCGTCTCGATCCCAGGTGTCTCCTCGTCTTCTTGGTAGCCGGCCCCGACCTTAACCTGCTCCTCTTCCAAGTGACCTCTGCTTGATCTCTGAATCACCCCCGTGGGACGCCTGTATCTCGGGCGAGCATCCCGGGGGCTAACCCTCACTTGATCTCCGGAGCTAACCCTCACTCGATCTCTTTGTAACTTCTGTTTGACCCCTGTATGACCGCTGCATGACTTCTGTAGTTCGTAAACGACCATCACTTTGATCATGCACCACCCCAGCATGACCTCCGTACAACTCACGTGCGACTGTCGTGTGCCTGTCTCCCATGCCGCGTGACCTTTGTTTGACCGCTGTATGACCGCCATGTGACCTCTGCCGTCTGTCCGGCAGACGTGGGACGGCAGCGTGATCCAGCTGTCCGCCATGACGTCTGGTATCCGCGGCAACTGGATCCAGGCGCTGCGTGGCTCGGCCCATCTGCCCGACGCCGGTCACCGGCTCTCGCTGGGCGAGCGGCTCGAGCGCCAGCTGGCCGACTCGGCCAGGTGGGGAAGCGCGCGCTGAGCTCGCAGCCGAAGGTCACGCATGGAGGTCTTGTGGTAGCGGGACGTTTTAGAGGCGATGCGGGGCCCGCCCCGGGTCAGTGGGACGTTGGGAAGGGAGCGTGCGCGAGTTGGACGAAGGCCTGTGGAGATCGAGCAGAGGTGATACAATCGCGAATGTCTTGCATAGGTCACTCTCAGTTTCATTAAGGTCAAACGTGAGTTACAAAGTGTTCATATGACCTCGCTCTCGCGATGCCAGAACCCAAGGTCACGCAAGGTGTACACGGATTTTAGCAGGGGTGTCATGCCGGGCCGTACTGAGTTCTCCAGTGATCACACAGGGTCACGCGACGCTCGGCTGTCGCTGAGCCGAGCCGAGCCGAGCCGAGCCGAGCCGAGCCGAGCCGAGCCGAGTGGCTGAGAGCCCCGAAGAAGAGATGGTTAGCGGCGCACCTGCCATCTGTCGGGAGACGCCTTTGGAAGCATGGCCAGGCCTTGCGGAATTGTAGTGGCGGACAGAGGTCGAGCACAGGCCATTGCACATTGCACAGGCGTAAAACGCTTAACTGTAAATTTCGCCATTCGAGGGAAGTTCGGATCTTTCCTTCCCCATAAGGAAGTACTGCATGCACCCCAACTGCCGAGGCGCTCCTCGCTGACCCCCTTCCCCCCCCCCCCCCCCCGCCCACCTCAGGAAGCCGCGCTACACGACGGCCGAGCGCGACACGGCGACGGTGGCGCCGGCTGGCGGGCTCCAGGCGACGCCACCGTCGTCGGACGAGGAGTATCGCACGGCCTCGGAGACGTCCGGCGGCCTGGACGAGGAGGAGCCGAGCGACGCTGAGGGCCGGGGCCGGCTGGCGGGCTCGCCGCCGCCCGCCCGCGGCCCCCTCTCCAGGGCAAAAGGTAAGACAGCCGGCGGCGCGGGGCTGGGGCCGAGGCTGCACGCGGACATGGCCGCCTCAGCTGATGCGGTGTTGTGTTGAGAAGTTGTTGTTTTGGAGCGGCAGGCCAGCTGCAGAGGACTGGTGCTGCGCCGCCTGGCAGCAAGCATGCCTCGGCTTTACCCATGTCGCTGAGTGTCTCGCTCTCTCACTCTGTGGCAGACCGGGCGCGCTCGCGCTCCACGTCCAGCACGCGCTCCAACAAGCGCTCGCGCTCCTCGCCGCCCACCTCGCGACGCAACACGCGAGAGGACTTCCCGTGCATGGAGGAGTTGAGCTCGTCCATCCAGACGCTGGATACCCCCGGTGGTGGCGGCGTAGACTCGCCCTTCAAGCGCTCCTGGCGACTCGGCAGGGTGAGTGTTGACACGAGTTTTGATGGCTTCTCGTTGGCACGAGTGTGAGTGTCGTATGTCAGGCACAGGTCAGTTGTGTCAGACATAGGACAGCCTTGCCAGGCACAGGGCAGCCATGTCAGGGATAGTATGTTACTATACTCACGTTAAAATCATGGATGCCCACTAGAACTGCAAAGCATAGGAACTCTGGCATTTAAAGGTAGCCCAAAGAAGGGAAGGCTTTCACGCCCTGAAAAACGCAGCCGGTTACATGTATGTATTGGAGAAATGGCTAGGTCTTTTAGTCGCAAAACTGATAACATTGTCGGCGTGTTCGGCTACAGGAAAATCACGTTCGAGATTGATTTTGAGCGCGGGCAAAACAGAGTGGCCGAGCTGTAGGGCATTCAGCCGTTACGGGGACTAGATTCAGCTGCCGTCGCAAGAGACCCATTGGAGCTGGTTTTCACCACGCGTGGCGATTATTCGCCCTTGGTTTGCACAGCAAAATGTTTCTCCACGTTACGCAACTATTATCAGTTGCACTAAATCGGACCGTTCTGAATGGGAACATTTCTCATTTGGAGATATTGAAGAAAGCATCAGATATGATGAAAGCAGATTAGTTGTGACGATTGGCATGCTATAAAATGGAAAAGACTGTGGTATGCAACAAAGCTTCTTTGTTTAGTAAATATGTTCCTCGATACGTCATTGTTTGAGTCCGTCATCGTACCTTGCAAACATTGATTGAGAGCCATTTGACGGCCGTGTTATCGGAAATCGTGCTCACGAAAGCCAGATATGAAGGACTCAACCATTTGTTCTTGGCTTTCATTGCCGCATGACTGATAGAATGGAAATAGTTTGATTACGTTCTTATAATGTTCTGAATGCCAAGGTGACCCTGAAATGCTCTTCCACAATTACTCTCCCACATCTTTGCGATCGTGTTTGCGGCTCAGGAACTGAAGGATTTCAGGTCTGGAAACGGGCATGGCCGTGAGCTGCATCGAAAGGTCTTCAATACGGCTATTTCAGTTCAAAACGGCATACAATTATGGAACACTTCTGTTAACGAAGTCTGGACTAAGGTCATCACTCAGAACATGGGTCAGAATGACTTTCAAGGAAATAAACGCTCCACCATTGACCAGTCAGTTTATAACCATTTTTCATCACGCTGCACTTTATACGCATTAATCTCAATCCTCATTAAAGATGTCAACGTTGGAAACAGAATCATTTCGCTCAGTGGCGGAACTACGTAACAAGCATGGACAGACAAAACCGCTATGGGAAGAGAGATGGGGCCCTGGACTCCTCCTGGGCCCATCCCCAATAATTAAGCACAAGGCACACTTGATCTTGTTGGCGGGGGACGTCATTGAGGTCCATGGCTCTTTCAAAGAGATAAGAACCTAAGCTTCCTATGAACCTCCTAAGAACCTTCCTTCCTTCCACCTATGCTTCGCGGCCTCTCTGTCCTTACGACATCTGATAAGTGCATCTGATGAGCATCTGGTAAGAGCCACGAGCGATCCGCCAGCTGCGCAGCCGTCAGCTGGGTGCCGACGGCTGCCGTCACGTACCGCGTCTGGCTGCTCTTCCCGCCGCGTCCCGTATGACGTCACCTGTCGCGTGTGGCCGCTCTTCCCGCCGCGTCCCGTATGACGTCACCTGCCGCGCGTGGCTGCTCTTCCCGCCGCGTCCCGTATGACGTCACCTGCCGCGTGTGGCCGCTCTTCCCGCTGCGTCGCCGTATGACGTCACCTGCCGCGCGTGTCCTGGATGGCCAGAGCAGAGCTGTCAGCGGCCGGCGGAAGCGGCGGCGGCCCCACTCTGCGTCACGGTTCCGCCGTCGCTGCCGTGGTGGTATCGGTGCCGAGTGACGCAGGCCCAGGCGGTGTTCAGGCCGTGTTCGGCGAAGGTCGGGGGTCTCGCTACGCTGAGGAGCGTGGACACAGCGAGGCGGAGGTACAGGGGGGTGAGGGGTGGGCGTGTGAATGGATCCCGCTAGGGAGGAAAAGGTGGCCTCTGGTTATTGCTTTTCAATGGGGGGGGGGGGGGCGTACAGTCGCGGGCGGAAGCATCTCAGCGCCTGGAAGTCCACGCTGTCGCCCCCGCGTGGCTGCATGGAGCGGTACAGACCCAAAAGGCTGTCTCCCTCTGCCTTCACTTACCGGCTTCCCTCCCCCTCCCCCTCCCGCAACGGTCTTGTCCGTTTTCTGCTCTAGTTTTCACGCAAGCAGCCAACTTTACAGAACGCTGTGCAACGACTTAAAAATGGCTCCCGTTTGTACCCGTCTAGCAGCCAGCCGGCCGCGGTCGGGGAGACCTGTAGCGGTCGAGGAGACCTGTAGCGGTCCTGCGATCGCCGGGGCCGGGGCCGGTGTGGGGCATTGGCGCCGGTGAGCGCTGCCCGCCGCCGGGGCGACCGGCTGGAGCCGGAGGCGGCGGAGAAACTGACCCGGGCCCAGCGCCGAAAGTGGCCCGGCCAGTGGCGGCTCGACGGCGACGGAGTCAGGTCCGGCTGCCTGGGAGCTCCGCCGTCCCGCCGCCGCGCGGCTGGTGACAGACTGGTGCCGCTGGTGCCGCCGCGGTCGCGGCGCTGGTGCAGGCGTGGTGCCGACGCAGTGGTGACACGACAGGACTTGTGTCGCGTCAAACTGGTGCCGAGTGTCGGCGAGGTGTATCGCTGGCCGTGAGTGAACATTAGCGGCTGTCGGTGTCCGCCGGTGACGCCGCTGCCGGTGACTGATGGAGGTGAACGGCGCGCCGGTGCACTACTGGCAGTACCGCCGCTGCCTAAGCTCGGTCGTCCCCCGCCAGGTCGGTCCGGCCGCCCCGCGCGGCGGCGTGGGCGGCCCGCAGGCCGTCTGGAGTGTCAGCTCCCCCAGCAGGTCTCCGTCTGACCCTCCCCCCCCCCAGCGCATGCATATCCAGCACCTAACTCGCCGCTTGCTAACTCTCTACCTCCCGACTTTGTGGTCTCCCGACTGTCTCCCGACTATCGCCATTGGGGCTCTCAGCTGCCACCCGCCTTACAGTGGTGATGAATTATCGGAAGGGACATCCGGATGCCCGGCGCATCGCCAGGTTTAACGCATCACCTTATGGTTTGGAAATACGCGAACTGAAGCCACGCTCGCCTAGCTCATTGGCGAGCCGGCCAGCAGCCAGCGAAGCCGCCCTGCCAGCTTCGTGCCTTCAGCTCACGGTCAATCCTCACGGCTGCCAGGCTAGCTGGGTTTGAACGTGGCGTTGTTATTTGACTCCACCTAAAGAAGGCGTCAATGGTCGCATGAATGACCTCCTCCGTGCACCATCCCGGCTGCCCCTCTGTAACGCAGTTGGCCACCGGGGGTCCTGTCGCCCCTCTGTAACGCAGTCGGCCACCGGGGTCCTGTCGCCCCTCTGTAAAGCAGTGGGCCACCGGGGGTCTTGTCGCCCCTCTGTAACGCAGTCGGCCACCGCGGGGGGGATTGGGGGTCCTGTCGCCCCTCTGTAAAGCAGTGGGCCACCGGGGGTCCTGTCGCCCCTCTGTAACGCAGTCGGCCACCGCGGGGGGGATTGGGGGTCCTGCCGCTCCTCTGTAACGCAGTTGGCCACCGGGGAATTCTGCCGCTCCTCTGTAACGCAGTCGGCCACCGGGGGTCCTGCCGCTCCTCTGTAACGCAGTCGGCCACCGGGGGTCCTGCCGTTCCTGTCGGCCACCGGGGGTCCTGCCGCTCCTCTGTTACGCAGTCGGCCACCGGGGGTCCTGCCGCTCCTGTCGGTCACCGGGGGTGCCCCTGCCGTCACGCCCGCCGGACAGCCGGTGCCGCGTACACTAATGATAATGACCTACATCAGGCGGCGGATTCTGAACAGCGCGACGGCGAGACACGGCTGGGAGCGTTATCGGCTGCGATGTCGGCTGCAGGATCAGCTGGTCGCTTTCTCCTGCCGCCTCTGTGCTCATGGAGAAGGACAATGACACGCGCTGATGGTGGTGGGAGTGATATAATCACTCTGGGGGTGATAGCCTGGCTGTAGCATGTGCGCCGCAATATTTCGGATGGTAGTGATTCCATTGCTGCTCTTTATAGCCTTGCAGAACATGCGCAATCGTAAGATAACACCATGATAGTAAGCGATTTACAAGAACGAACGTTAAAGATGGCCCGTGCAGTTGTGGTAATCGCCGCGATTGTCATGATTTGGAGGTCCGTTCGGCTGGCCGGACCGCCGACCGCGCTTGCCTCGTTGCCGAGGCGGCCGGCTCACCATCGCCAGTGAATTGTCCACAATACGCCATGCGTGCTCCTGAGTGGGGAGCGTCAAGCACATGTCAACCTCGCTGTCAGCAAATGGAGGCGCTCCCACGAGATAGGCGTCTCGGCATGGAACGGTCTCGGCGGCAGCCCCATCTGTCGGCCGTGCCCGGGATTGCGCGTGGCAGCGCCGCACGGAGGCTGGCACGCACCCCGCGCCGGTGGGTGGCCGCACGGAGGCTGGCACGCACCCCGCGCCGGTGGGTGGCCGCACGGAGGCTGGCACGCACCCCGCGCCGGTGGGTGGCCGTACGGAGGCTGGCACGCACCCCGCGCCAGTGGGCAGCCGCGCCTCCCTGTAGCACGGTCACCGAGCGGGCCGAGCCGCCGAGCCCCGGTCTGCGCAGGCTGTTCGTTGAAAGGTTAGGATTGGACTTACTCCGAAGGAGGAATGGGCTCTATTTGCCAATGAAGAGCGGGCCCCTGACGACTGTTTGATCAGTGAAACTGGACCTGTTCAATCACGTCCAAGCAGCTGCTGCTGCCTGAGCGGTGACACTCCGGTGCTGGGACATTGTCAGACAAATCGCAGAGCTGAGGGCGGTCCGGCCGCCCGCCACGGGGTATCCTGGATGACCTGTTTGTCGCCCTTGTCCGAGTACCACCGATCGAGGAGTGGGGATTTGCTAAACCAGTTGCGGTGTATAGTTTGAGGCAGTGTGGGTGGGATGTTACCACCGATCCCACTTCGACACTGATCGC